ACCTGATGTTTCCCGTAATTCCCTCCTACGAATTTCTTTACTCAGAATTAAATCTCGAATATCATCGTAATTCAATTTTTCTTTTCCTGAAGAATTACTCACTGCCGTTATAGTACCATTCTAATTTTCTAGCAAACTGGATAGAAGAATCAAAGCCCTAACCTCATCATCAAATTCGATAGATAAAGAACTCAATTGTGTTACCACAATATTGAATTCGTTCAGATGCTCAGCCACCGAAGCACTTCCAGTCATCCTCAGATTAAATAATCTATGCATCAAATAAACTTTCGTTGAGGCAGAGGGTTTTTCATACATGTTTGAAAGTGCCGCCATGAGACCCGTTGTAGTCTTCTCCTTCGCTACGCTAAACGCAACGTTACGAGACAACGTTAGCCGAATAACACTTAGCGCTTAGCAATTAAGAAGAGTCCACTTATCATCCTTCATCTTTTCTGGTTTCGTCCTTGAAAGGGGCTCATACAGTTTTTTCTGATACAGATAGTCTTCAATCTGCATCTTCCAAAATCCAAAATCTATGCCAATGAATTTATTGATTTTAACCTTTTCTTCGTCTACGACCATGGTTCTCACTCGACCTAAAGCTCTAATATTAGTTGTTAGGAAAACATCTCTTCTTAATCAAGATTGGTGAGACACAAAATAACAAACAAGAAAGATAATCAAATCACAGAAATCAAACACACACAAGAACAAAAAGATTTACATGGTTCACCCAAGAATAGGGCTATGTCCGTAGCTGTTGCAGTTTTTACTATGATCAGAAAACGAAACAACTTTCTTTACCTAAAAGAGGCGCCTCTTTCATCCATATATAAAAATAGAATTAGGGCAATATGAAAGCAATAGGGAACAGTACTTGTCAGGGTCCACCGACCTAACAGTCTTCTATAATTTGGTGTGACAACTTCTCAGATATTGCAATGGTCTCTATTATTAAAAATTCTTTTTTGACCCATTGTCTTATTGAACATAACTAATGAAAGGTCAAAATAACGAGATCAAATTTATGAAAAAATAATAAATTATCTTTTCAGAGTGGGAAAAAAATAATAAACTATTAAGTAGTTAATAAACTATACCTCAACAAATTTGTTATGATATTGTAACAATTATAAATAAGGTTTGGATTCTCATCAATTGGTCATCCAACTTTGGAGACACTGTTGGACTTGATGGGCCTAGTTTGGGACTCGTTTCGGTGTTCTGATCTTTTTATATTTTAAAATTCATTGAGCAGAGTATTTATTTAAAAAATCAAGATGATTGAATGTTATTAATTACATTATTAAATCACACTTTTATTAAAAAAAATTATAGATGGTTTTTTTTGAAAATTATAATTGTTGTCCATTTTTTTAGTTTAAATATGATTTGAACTTATAGTACCAATATATGATCATTGTGAGGGACTCCATTGTGGGTCACCAAGCCCAACAATACATCTTGTTAGGAATTGACCTTTTCTAACCAAGATCGGTGAGACACGAAATAACAAACAAAGAAGAAAAACGAATCAAACAAATTACACACACAAGAACACAAGGATTTACATAGTTCACCCCAGAATAGGGCTACGTCCACTGCTGCTGCGGTTTTTCACTATGATCAGAAAAATACAACTCTCTCTTAACCTAAAAGAGGCGCTCCCTCATCTATTTATAAGTATAGAATTAAGATTACACGGAAGCACATGGGAATTACGAAAGTACCCAATTACTTATCAGGGTCCACCGACCCAACAATCTCCCACTTGGAACCTGATAACACAAGCTCTCCATCATCTTCATCACATAAAGGAACACCATAACAACTCGATCTTCCTTCATCAATCTCGAAGGCCAACTGAAGTTGCACACAACTTCAGTTTGTCAATGGTGACTGTCTTGGTCAACATGTCTACTGGATTCTTACTGCCTTGGATCTTTTCAAGAGACAAGACTCCATCATCTACAAGTGAACGAATGAAATGGTATCGCAGCTGAATGTGTTTCGTCCTAGAATGAAAAACTAGATTCTTTGCAAGATGAATAGCACTTTGACTGTCACTATGCAAAATACTTATCTCTTGCGTCTTACCCAACTCTGCTAGGAAATTCTGTAACCAAGTTATCTCCTTCCTAGCTTCAGTAATAGCAACATACTCAGCCTTTGTTGTAAAAAGGGCCACAATCTTCTGTAACTGTGAAATCCAACTCACTGCTGTACCACCTAATGTGTAAACATAACCAGTAGTACTCTTTCTGTTATCTATATCACCAGCCAAGTCTGCATCAACATAACCATGTAACCTGATGCCGGTTCGTCTGAAACAAAGTGCCATGTCTATAGTACCACTCAAGTATCTAGGGATCCACTTCACTGCCTCCCAATGCTGCTTGCCTGGATCACTCATGTACCTACTAACCACTCCCACTGCATGTGCAATGTCTGGTCTAGTACAAACCATAGCATACATTATGCTACTAATAGCTAAAGCATATGAAACACGTTCCATGTAAGCTTTCTCTTCTTCGGTCTTCGGAGACTGCTCTTTGGTAAGTCTGAAGTAGCTAGCCAATGGAGTGCTCACTGGTTTTGCACCATCCATGCTAAACCTCTTGAGAACTTTCTTGACATACTCAACCTGTGACAATTTCAAAGTACCATTTGCCTCGTCCCTGTGAATCCTCATACTAAGGATTTTATTTGCAACTCCAAGATCCTTCATCTCAAATTGGTTGGACAAAAGTTTCTTCAATCTTTTTATCTCTTCAATACTAGATCCTGCGATAAACATATCATCAACATATAAGAGCAAAATAATATAACTTTTGTCAAACCTCTTGAAATAACAACAACGATCTGCTTGACATCTTGTAAAACCGTTGCTACACATAAACCCATCAAACTTCTTGTACCACTGCCTTGGGGCCTGTTTCAAACCATACAAACTTTTTCAAAGTCTGCATACAAACTCCTCTTTGCCACGTGTCAAGAAACCTTGTGGTTGCTTCATGTAAATTTCCTCCTCCAAATCACCATAGAGAAAAGTCCTCTTCACATCCATCTGCTCAAGATACAAATCTTCAGCAACCACAATTCCCAACACCAATCTGATAGTGGTCAACTTCACAATTGGAGAGAAAATTTTAGTGTAGCCAACCCCTTCCTTTTGCTAAAATCCCTTTGCAATCAATCTGGCCTTGTAGCGTTTACTCCCATCATGTTCCTGTTTGACCCTGTAAACCCACTTGTTGTGCAAAGGTTTCTTACCTACGGATAATTCAGTCAACTCCCATGTCTGGTTTACCATGAGTGAATCCATTTCATCCTGCATAGCTAACTCTCACTTGATTGAATCATCAACCTGCAAAGCCTCATTATAACTTTTGGGTTCACCCTCATCAAACAACAACAAATTATGTAAAGATGGAGACCAACGCTGTGTAGGTTTAGACTCTCTTCTGACCGTCTCAACTTAGGAGTAGGAGTATGTGGCTCAGTTTGTGGAATAAGATTTTCAGGATTATTCTGAATCCTACTAGTCAAATCATTCTCACTAATCTCCTCTAACTCAACATGCTCATGACAAGTAACAGATTCAGATTTAGATGCAGACTTATCCCTATCCTTATACATTACTTTCTCATTAAATATGACATCTCTACTTCTGATTATTTTTCTATTTTTATCATCCCAAAACCGATAACCAATTTGATCAATGTCATACCCAATAAAAGTACATTTAACAGATTTCGGATCAAGTTTACTTCTATCAGCAGAATCTATATGCACATATGAAACACAACCAAATACCTTCAAAAAAGAAAGATTTACCTCTTTACGACTTCAAGCTTCTTCTGTAGCTCTCCATCTAATGGAACAGATGGACCACGGTTAATCAGATATGATGCAGTGTTAACTGCATCTGTCCAAAACATCTTTGGTAATCCGGCATGTGTCCTCATACTTCTAGCACGTTCATTTAGAGTTCTATTCATGCGTTTTGCAACGCCATTCTGTTGAGGTGTCTTTTGAACAATCTTCTCCATTCCAATTCCACTTTTTGCACAATATTTCTTAAACTCATTGTCCTCATATTCCCCTCTATTATTTGATCTGAAACACTTAATTTTCAGACCTATTTCAGTCTCCACCAAGGCTTTCCACTTCTTAAAAGTAATATAAACTTCAGATTTATGTTTTAGAAAATAAATCCATACCTTTCTCGTTGAGTCGTCGATAAAGTTAACATAGTATGATGATCCTCCAAGAGATGAAACTGGTGCAGGTCCCCACACATCTGTATGAACCAACTCCAACTTCTGACTTCGGTTTCCTGCCATCCTTTGAAAAACTAAAACTCTTTTGTTTGCCGAAGATGCAATCCTCACAAAAGTCAATGTCTATCGATTTCAAATCTGACAGTTTCCCCTTAGATGCAAGTACCTTCATCCCTTTTTGACTTATATGCCCAAGCCTTTGGTGCCACAGATTTGAGTCTTCCTTCTCACCAGCAACTGCTACTGCATCCCTATTGTTTGTAGTCATGTAAAGGGTGCCTTTTTTTTTACCACGAGCAATAACCATGGCTCCTTTGGTGATTTTCCACAAACCACCCATAAAGGTTACAACATGACCTTCATCATCAAGTTGTCCAACAGAAATCAAGTTTCTTTTCAAACCAGGCACATGTCTGACATTCTGTATCTTCCAAACAGATCCGTTTGGTGACTTGATTATTACATCCCCTTTACCCACAATCTTCAAAGATTCATCATCAGCCAAATAAACCTTCCCGAAATCACCACTAATGTAATTGTCCATGATTTTCCTCTGTGAAGTGGAATGGAATGATGCCCCAGAATCTAAAATCCAAGATTCAAGAGGGCTATCAATACTCAAGATCAAAGCATCATAAATCTCCTCCGTTACAGCATTAGCAAACTTTTGATTTTGATCACCTTTTTTCTTATTCAATGTCGGGCAATCTCCCTTTAGATGTCCCTTCTTCCCACAGTTCCAGCAACTCCGTCCCTCTCTAGTTCTTGACTTGCTTCTCCCGTGGGTGTGTGTGAGTGTGGGTCACAAGAAAAAGAGGGATAGAGAGAGAGGTTGATGCCGAGAGGTCCACAGAGAGAAGTTGATTTTCTTGAGTGGTGTTTGGGTCTCCACTTTTCTTGAGTGATGCTACTCAGCACATTCTGAAGCTCATCAGCAGAGATGGAACCATTCTTATCAATATCAAACACAGAAAACGCCTCTTTCAGATTCTCGAAAACCTCATTGGAATCGATGTCCTTGGTGTTGAGCTCGATGAACTCGTCCAAATCGATGACTCCATCGCCATCAGAATCGACCTCTCGGATCATGGTCTGGAGTTCGTCATCGGTGGCGGAGTAGCCGAGGCTGGAGAGGATGGATCCGAGCTCGGAGGAGGAGATCTTGCCGTCACCATTGACGTCGAATTTGTTGAAGACTTGCTTGAGTTCTTCCTCGATGTGGGCGCGAGAGTTGAGGGAAGAAGAGCGAGAGATGGCATGGGGTTGTTGTCCATTGTGGAGGACAAACATCAGATCGAGGATTGCGACGGCCCTGAGCTTGGAGTCGTCCAAATCGCACTTGGTGGAAACGTCGACGCCGCGGACAACATCGAGAAGCTTGTGGCATCCTTCAGGTATGAAGACAGCGACGGAGAGAGAGAGGCCGGTCTGAAGCACCCAGAGTCCCTGAAGGCAGAGGGAAACCCCAAGGGCGAGGTCGGCGACGAAGAGCCTGGGGTGGCAGGATGAGGGTGTGTTGCTCATCGGAGATGTACTAGTGCTAGTGGATAAACGCAACCAGTAGAGCTGTCTTTGAGTGAAATGGAGAGGGCGAATTTGGTGAGATAAAAAGGTTGGCGCCGGTGACGGCGATGCACCAGCGACGGCGAATCACGACGGTAATGGTTGGTGGTACAAGAGGGAAGGCAGCATCGCTGGAGGAGCGACGTGATGAGGACAGTCAGTGGCTAAAATCCAGCCAGCTGGGAGTTCACGATTGAAGAAGCAACAATTCGAGAAATCCAGCAAGCATTTGCAGACAAGAAGCTCACATCAAGACAGCTCGTTGACTTCTACCTGAACCGAATCCAGGAACTGAATCCGGTGCTTCGCGGCGTAGTGGAAGTGAACCCGGACGCTCGAGATCTAGCGGACGAGGCAGACCGAGAGAAGCAGAGCAATGGTGGATCACTGGGAGAGTGGGTGTTGTCAGAAGTCCATTTGTGGATAAGCTTCATGATTCAGCCACAGCTGCATCTTTTGAGGATCATCTCAGTACATTGAGAAAAAGAGGTGCGATTGTAGTGGACAATCTGCACATAGCAAATATTGATGAAATTCTAGATCCCCATCAAAGTGGGGAACTAATGGTGATGGCGACTGATTTCAAGATCTCCGTAAATGCTTACTTGAAAGAGCTGAACAAGGCTTGTGCCTTCACTGTGATAGAAGTCATGCAGAAACAGTTGAGAGATAAGAGGTCCGGCGGGCGGCCAAGGCGAGGCTGCCGCCCGCCGGTGAAGCGAAAATGCTAGGCTCAACCTTGCTCTGATACCATGTTAAAAATTGATGTATTATTGATTGATATATGTTGTTAATTACAAATGGTGAGGTGCTCTTTATATAGGAGATGTAGTAGGTGAAGTGGGTGGAGTAGGTGTAGTAGGTGGTGGAGTAGGTGAAGTGGGTGAAGTAGGTGATAGGTTTTAACACAATCTCCAAGGGATTGGTTGAGAGATTCACTCTGGCTATGCTCCAATATGACTTCAAACAGAATTAGGCTAATCACACTTTGTTTATGAAGCATTCCTCACATGGTAAGACTACAGCTCACATTGTTTATGTAAATGATATAATGCTTACAGGAGATGATAGTGAGGAAATACTCCGGTTGAAGAAATATTTGGCAATCGAGTTTGAAATAAAAGACTTGGGAAATTTGAAATATTTCCTAGGTATTGAGGTTGCCCGGTCCAAAGATGGAATTTTCAACTGTCAGAGGAAATATGTTCTTGATCTATTGAAAGAAACCGGGATGCTTGGGAGTAAAGCTTGTGATACACTACTAGAGCCAAACCATAAACTTAGTGATGATAGTGGGGGAGCTATTGTTGATAGGGGAGAGTTATCAGAGACTAGTGGATAAGCTCATTTACTTATCACATTCTCGTCCTGACATTTCCATGGCAATAAGTGTGGTTAGCCAATTTGTGCATGCTCCTCATGAGATACACTTGGTTGTAGTAATACACATCCTTAAATACTTGAAATTTTCCCCAGGAAAAGGTCTATGTTTTTCCAAACATGATCATCTTCGGATGGAAGCTTATACCGATGCGGATTGGGCAGGATCAGTTTGTTGGAGGCAATTTGGTTACTTGGAGGAGCAAGAAGCAAAATGTAGTCTCCCGATCTAGTGCAGAGGCCGAGTTTAGAGTCATGGCACAAGGTGTATGTGAACTCTTGTGGATCAAGTTACTGCTAAGTGATCTGGGGATTAGTTATACTGATTCCATGCGACCTTACTATGATAATAAGGCTGCTATTAACATAGCTCACAATCCAGTTCAGCATGACCGAACAAAACATGTGAAGATTGATTGTTACTTTATTAAGGAGAAACTCACCAGAGGCACTATATGTACTCCTTTTGTGAAATCAGCTGAACAACTGGCAGACATTTTCACTAAGGGAATCGGAAGCAAACCATTTCATACTATGATTGGCAAGTTGGGCATGAGACACATCTTCGCACTAGCTTGAAAGGGAGTGTTAGAATAATATCTTTAGTTATTGTGTATTGATTATTCTATTAGCTGTTATTTCCTTATTTGTGTCTCTAAGGCTTCCATTGTAAGTTACCTATTATCAATATAAAAAGGGATAATTGTCTAATTATTCCCTAAGTTTTTCTCTCTCAAACAAACATCCTTTGCGGTGTCATTCCATTTAGAATTAAACCCATGTGAATATGCTCTACGCCTATGCGGAGCACCGAAGGAATCATCAAGTTGATAATCCTTGGAACCAATACTACCTTTGGAAAGAAGTTGCAAGCGTTGCACTTTTCCAAGGTAGCCATTTGTGCACTCAACTCTCAATCTTATTCCATTGATTTTGGTTTCCAACGCTCATTTCAATTGAGTGATTCATCTTGATTTCTACACCTACATTCGGAGCATAAGCCCTACCATGGCCATCCCTACGACCTCTACCTCTTTGAGCCATACACAAGCAATAGTGATGCACACAACAATTTCAACTCACAGAAGAAATTGCCACAGAAGCAGAAATTAAATTCCAGCCAAGAAGAAGAAATTCAGAAGCAGATATGAAGAACCCAGAATCAAGAGTTGACTCACAACAATATCACCCAAGAATGTAATCTCCACCAATACAATAGAATTGATTAATGGCAATTGAATTCGAAACAGCCCAAATGAAAGTCGAACAACAGAATTGAGCACAGAAGTCGAATTAGTTACCCCAATCAAGTCAATCAAAGAAGTTTTGATTCACAGCCCCAGCAGAATCCATCAAATATCAAGAAACGATAGAACTCAGATCGTTCAAGCACTGAATCGCACCAGTCACCAGTCGTGAACCCAGAACTTGCACCTTTGGATTCACGAAGCCAATCACGATTCATGAAATTGATAGCATCGAATTGTAAAAGGAAGGTCCCAACTCCAATGTGCGATACAATGTTCCAGATTCAGTCGCAATACGAGGCTCAACTCTTCAAGGTTTCAAGCCTTCGAATCGAACAGAAAATCCACGGAACCCAAGTCGCGATCTTGATAGCTTGACTCGAAATAGGCAGAATTCAAACCCAGAACTCAGAAATCACTGAAGAATGAATATTGCAGCTCACGTTAGTGTTGGGATATCACACAATGATGTTCAAATTGACTTAGGGCTTCAGGTCTTGAATCAAAAAGTCCAACAGATCTGAAATCGCAACCCTACATACTCGAATACATTGTTCTTTCAAGCAAATTTCTTGAGTTTCTTGATGCAAAAACTCTCAGTTCTGCGAACTAGAGATGAACACTTCTTCAAGGGAAGTCGAAGATCAAAAGGCAAGAACCAGGTCAGATTCTCGGTGTGATAACTCAAAATTTGGAAGGATAGGATCCAAATCCTATGCTTTGATACCAAAATGATGGAGCCAATCAAGAAAGAGATTTCACTAGAGAGAGAAAAATCCCAAAATGGGTACAAGAGCTTTTAAGCTCTGCAATATTCAATATCAAAATATCATCAATTGCCTACTAGAGAGGCCTAACCACCTATTTATAGGATAAAAGACCCAACTAACTCTAACTAACTCTTATGGTGCTAAACTTAACAACCATACTAGTTCTAACTACATCACCAACCAAATAACCCATAGACACCATTGGGGACAAAAATTGCAATTAGGATTTTGAAAGATGTCATTGGTCTGGTCATGAGACTTTTATGAGCCAAAGTCAACCTTACCTTCAAGAGGCACATCCGCTTTTCAAATCCTACTGTAATGGAGAAAAAGGGGGAACATTATGATCATCATTAATCTTAAAAACGATTTGCTTGAGAAAATCCCTGAAGAATAAAGTGACCAAACCAAACCCATTTATCACCAACATTGAGTGATTTGTCCTGGCAACATTACTCTGGGATTATCATGGCAACACACTCTGTCAGGCTCATCATTCTAGATAAAGAATTGAGCAAAGACACATTATCATTTAGAGACATTTGAAGCTTCCTTTACTATAAAGCACCTTATCAACAAATTCCATATGCCTAATATAAATTCTAATAACTAATGTCATGCTTTATGCCTCATACTACGTTACACGGACTCTTTAGATTTTTGGAGATACCTGTGTTGACACGACACGACTCGGGTGTAGGTGCAGGTGCGGGTGCGGGATACGGCCGGGATATGGCTCTTCACAAATGGATATGGCAAAAGAAATGAAAGGGGAGAGAGCAGGAGAGAACCTAGTTGCCGTTCGCTGTTCGATCTGGTCGCCGACTTCGATTCCTCTAGTCGTTGGCTTCAACGGCTTCGACTTCGACATCAATCTTCTTCGCTTGATGCTCGATCTCCTTCTTTGTCTTCTCTCTCTCGATCTTGTCTTCTCTCTTGTCTCTCGATCTCCCTCTTCCTCTCCTCTCCTCTCCTCTCGATCTCCCTCTTCTTCTACTCCCTCTCTCTCTCTCCTTCTGTCGATTGTCTTTGTTTCTCTCCGTTCTCTTTCTCTTCTTTGTTCTCTTTCTATTCTCTGTCCTCTTTCTCTTCTTATATATTATACAATATAAATTACATTAATATAATAATATATAATATTATTGATATTATAAAATATTATTGTTTCGAAGTGTCCGACCTCTAAATACACACCCGCACCCGATACCTGCACCCAAGTCCGTGTAATGTAGGCCTCGTACATGATTTTACAACTTGGAACTATGCTGGCTAGTTCATTTTCAGAAACTATGTGTTCTCATGCCCAATCACCAAAACAAAACATAACAAAGCATTTTAGAATATGAAAAGTCATTTCAAAATAATAGCAGCAATATATTACCTCAGACTTGAATGCCCTTATAGTTGAGGATCCATCCAATGTCTCTGTAAATGAAGCATAAATTGGTGAACGAGAAACACCGTCTAGCCTCCGCAACTCGCGCGACGTTGACCTGTAGTAGAACTGAAGAATCTTGATTTAGTAGACAACTCTAGATTCTAAAGAGTATTGTTTCCTTGCGTCAATATGAAGCCAATTTTGTAGAACATTACTTTCATATTCAATTACTAAAATATATCTTGCAAACGTCTCCACAAAGGACTGCGGCAGCATAAGGTTAATATCACTGAAACCAAATCATCATTTTATCACAATCAAGGATCAGCTAAATTCAACTGTGATCCCATGTCACTCCTCATCGACAGGACAAAAAATTAACATGTCTGGAGAAATGAAACAAGCCTTAGAAATTACCACCTGTGCTCGAGTCCAATGATGTATTTTAGAAGGTGCCTATACCATTCAAGTCGAGAAACTTCTTTGATATTTCTTCTCAAAAGGCAACCAAGCAATTGAATGTTAACAAAGATTTATTCTACTTTCCAAACACACACAAATCCCTATATGTAAGTAGTAGCATTAAATATTAATTCGCATTTTGAGATGTTTTTGTGGTTGGTTAGGTCAAGGGAATTTTTATTATTTTGGACCCAGGGTTTTGGTATTTCCAGCTGAGTCTAAGTGGGGTGTTTGGGGTCTTTTGGATCAATTTTGTACTGAACTTAATGTTTTGGGGTGTTAAGAGAGTTATTTAATCTTCTAGAAGGATTTATTTGTAATATTTGTATTGGCTCCCCACAGAAGCTTTTCGGCTTCTTAGCACCATGCTATTATGAGAACTTGTGGTATACTTGTTGAGACAATTGTTCCTTTAGCTGCTACTGATCACAATATCATAGTTTTTTTGTTGTCTGGAGTTTAGCCTCATATTTCAATAGTCTGCCCTGTACTAACCATCTGCTTGCATCAAAGGGTATCATAACCCTACTTTGCATAAAAAACTTGAATAAGTTTCCATGCTTGATTGAATAGTAAAACTTAATAAGTTACGATGCTTCTATTATACAAAGTGATATTTACATTCTCATCCTTATGTTTTTTAATTTACTTAATGCAACCCAAGTTTGGCCTTTTTAATATTTGTGAGTTTTATGTTCCACTGATATGTCCCAACATGCCATATTACCCTTTTTCTCCCATTTATTTCACCAGGTAGAATTCCTGGCCCCACCTATGACATAGCATCTCAGAAACTTAGAGGTAACCAGAACCGAAAATAATAAAAGCTTCCAATTTTCAATTAAAATATCCAAAGTTTGAGATGCCATTTCTAACTTCAAAATAAAATTGTACTCTACCCTGCACTTTCTCCCTCTCCCAACAGAATCTGATTAGAATCAAATATTATACATCGAAATGGGTTCCAAACAAAATCCAAAACACTTTTATGTTAAAACTAATGTACAAGATATAGTAAGTACCTGCAGTTTACTGTAGATATACCAAAACGGCAATAATAAAAGCAAAAACATGACCTGCAAAAATTACATTAATCTTTATAAGACAATGTTTTGATCTGGGAACGAATTATAGAACTTCTATAATGGACAAGTCCCAAAGTGAAAAGGCCTCATTACAAGGATCTACTTAAAGTACCTGCACATATGACAAAACAATAGCAATCCCCAAGAGGCCAACAAAATTGGCCAGGAGACTGTTGAGAATAAATGGAAGAGCGACATCGTCATCAATGGTATAAAGATCTGAAGAAAACCTACAAAATATAATCCATATGAAGAATGCAACATTGAAACTGGAGTAATCTCTTGAAGGCACTAATGCTACCTGTTAAGAATTCTTCCACTTGGTGTCTGATCAAAGAAGTTAATAGGTGCATCCATAAGTTTGTTTAGCAGTCTATCGTGCACCTGAATAGCTGCACGTAAACCGCCAAATGCAAATGAGAATGCCCTCGTCAATGTTAGCACTGAATTGGCAGCAGAGAAGATGCAGAGTACAATCTGTTCCATTATCGAAAGCCAACCAAAACAGTTATGTGCTCCTCAACCCCATTTCCCGTTTTTCTTTATGCATTTCTCTTCAAAAAGTGAGATATTGCACTAACGGACAACAGTTTCTTGACAATTATGTAAATATGACTGGTTAATTAGCCACATACTTGTCATTTCTAAGCATATGCTTCTTTCTAAAATTTCTAAGCCAACACATGAAAATCTAAAACATATAGCATTTCAATTAAGTTTTAATTTTCCTACAAGTTGTTACATATTAACTTTCTTCCTAAACTGAAGCCTAGCTACTAATCATGCTGGCCAGTATAAACAGTAGAATGCTGGGAAATGGTAAAATAGACAGAAATTCACACTCCAAATTAAAAAAAGAAAAAGAAAAAGATACACTGAACATGTTCTTCAATTTTAGATCATGAACTGCTTTAACATTACTCAAAATATCTTCTACAGACACATTTTTATGGTTAGAACAGAAGTCAAATAGGCCGCCAATTAATGTTTCTATATGGTCATCCCTTAGGGTTATCCAATTACTATCCACCACAACTATTTCTATTGAATTGTTAACCACCAACTCATCTAAAAGCTTAAGTTTAGAAAGGGCAACTTTTACGTTATATTCTGAACACACCCCCTCATGTGTGGCCAAGCTCTCCTCCATAAGCAGGCCAAACACGCGCAAGTATTTTTAATTATCAGGTTGGCAGTGAGGTTCAAACTCAGGATCTATTGCCTGCTCTGATACCATATGGAATTGTTGACCACCAACTCAACTAAAAGCTTCAGCTCTTAGAGAGGGACAACTTTTATATTATATTCTCAACACTTTCTATAACAAGAAATGTTTATTTCCATAACAAACTGCTTACCTTTGCTTTATTTTAAATAAAAAAAAAAAAAAAAAAGTTCAATGTACACGGTAAAATTTTTTTTTAGTCTAACGACTTCCCAAAGCCAAGTTGTCAAAAACTAAAACCATTGTTTTAACAGGATTACAAAGATCAGGAAAAGGTAATATAAAACCAGAAAGGCCCTCAAAACTCTATTTCTGAAAATAAACACCAGTTATGATATATAATGAGCGTTTGGTAGCATTGCCATTTTCCTGTAATAGAAAACAAGAAACATGTTATTTGTTTGACTTCCCAAATCCAAGTTGTCAAAAACTAAAACCATTGTTTTAACAGGATTACTAAGATCAGGAAAAGGTAATATAAAACCAGAAAGGCCCTCAAAACTCTATTTCTGAAAATAAACACCAGTTATGATATATAATGAAGATCAGGAAAAGGTAATATAAAACCAGAAAGGCCCTCAAAACTCTATTTCTGAAAATAAACACCAGTTATGATATATAATGAGCGTTTGGTAGCATTGCCATTTTCCTGTAATAGAAAACAAGAAACATGTTATTTGTTTTTGATTCATTGAGCATGTTTGGTAACATTTTTGTTTTCTATTTTCTGTTTCAAAGACTTTGAAAACTGGAAACAAAAAATACGTTTGGTATTTGCTTTGTTGCAAAAAAAGGCAACAATTTTCAAATTTGTGAAAACAAAAAGAAGTGTTTTCTCTTGTTTCTGAAAACAAGTTTTGAGTCCCTCTTCTCCCTCCCCCTGCAAGTTCTTCTCCTACACCCTCCATCCTGTATCAAACATGTTTTTGTTTTTATTTGTTTTATAATCATATATGTGTACCAAATTTCTAACTATTCCATCTTCAAGAAAAAGTCAAAAAAATAGATTTTTTGGTAAAACTAAAGGAATCAACTGATCACCAGATAAAAGGATGTGGGATAGCCTTTTTTATCACTTCCAGTTGTATCAACCCAATATGACAGCCACAGATCATTGCCATTTCGAGAAGCTTGCATCAATATTGCTGAGAGGCATGTTACAATTGTAATAGTCCAACCAGCAAATGCAGCATAATGTCTGCAAAAAATAGAATTCAAGAACTGTAAGTACAACCTGACAAAGAAGGTGCTTGACTACTTACAGAGGGAAATTAACCACCTTTAAACTATCAAATGTCTTGTGTGCAATGAAATTTTACTTGATTGATGTTAATACTCACTTGTATACGTTAAGTTCAACTCTGCCTTCTTTCCTTTGCTCACCTTCAATAACCTGTTCTTCTCCCTCAGAAACATGTATACAATCACTCTCTGAAATAACATTTTCTTTGGTTTCAGTGGAAGTATTTCCACTTGTTTCAATTGTCTGAACTTGAGAAGATATGTTGAATTCTTTAAGTGAAGAGAATGCCAAAGATGAAATCGACAAGTCAGCTGAACTTCCCACCCAGTTCACATGTCCTTTATCCATTACAACAATTATATCAGCAGAAGATATTGCCTGTGGAGTGTAGAAAAAAAATAACTTGTGAATTCATTTCCCAAAAATAAAAAAGAAAGAAAAGTTAATGAGAGCAATCAAATACACAAGAATGGTTTTATTATACCTTAGGATGAGCAAATTGAACCATAAAATCCTGAGATAATTCCTTTTCAGGAGCAAATTACCAATGACCAAGTTTTTAGCAAATTCAAATTTAGTAGAAGAAAATGTTAAATAGAACAATAGTCCAGTTCCACTCCAGGGCACGTGCTGTAAATAGAACAACATTGCGTCTTCTTTTTTTTTCCTCTAATAGTTCAATATTTGTTTTACTCATGCAAGGAGATAAATAACAAAGGGCACATTAATATCCATATGAATATCCGAAGTTATTTAGGGCCTGTCTGTTATCCATTCTGAAGATTATTTTCTGTTCTTGAAAAAAAAATATACAAAAAGTAGAAAATATTTGATAATGGTTTCCGTCTTTTTTCCAGCTCTTACATCACTGTGCACAAGGGCTTTGCCGTACTTTAATATGCATATTTAACTTTTGCCTAATTCCAAGAAAAAGGAATTGGACACTGATACCAGACGAGATGTGCAAATTAAAATTATATCACATTGCCATGATCCAGCCAATTCAATGATCGTAACATAATCTTTATATGATCATGTTTATCTTCTCTAACATAGTCAATAATCTAGACCTACATAGTTGGGTATTCCCATTTAAACTATGCACAAGGTAGCAATCAGTAGCCACATACTCAGATGGCATGGATGAGTGCTGTTTATCTTTATAAACGGTAATTAATAGAAACTACCAAATAGTGAAGATGGCTCAATAACCTTATCGAAGTGAAAGCATAAATTGAATTAAAATTATGGAGGTGGACATGTTTGTGTATAGAGGAGGGTGAATAGGCTAAAAACTTGTGCAAATTAACAATTAAAATGTCACAAAGTGAATTGTTCAAATTAATGCCAATTTCAATATCTCAATCATGCATATATGTCATAATTTAAAAAAGAAAAAGAAAAAAGAAGAAGAAGAAGAAGAAGGAAGAAGAAGCAAGAAGGAAGAAGCAAGAATAACAAAAAAAATACTAGAAAAGCCCTTAAGAACAATAATCCCCTTAGGTACACAAGAGTATATGATTCTACAGGTGCATAATATCCCAAGAAAAAAGGTCTAAAATTTAATTAAGGTAATAATAATAGTATGTGTATATTACTAATAATAAGGGAAATTTAGTGAAAAGTCCTACCAGAGGATCTAATTTAGTGAAAAGTCCTAGGGAAATTCTAATAGGCCAAGGAGTCCCATAGTTATAGAATAGTATCCCATGTAATCTTATTTTAAATTATAAATCCATTTATATCCATTTTTCCCTTCTCATAATGGATGGTAAATATTTCTTATATTTGGCATATAATGGTTTTCCTTTTTGTGTGGTAAATATTTACTTGTTTGGCATATGACAGTTTTCCAATCATGTTGGATTTTTTGTCCATGCTAATGCTCAAGATTTGTTTATGCAATCTCGATTCTCTATTTTTTCACTTTTTATTAGGTACTTTTGTAATTTCAGTGTAAAAATATAAATATTCACACTTTTTATAGAATGATTTTAAAATGTCATAATGTTTTAGTAAATTTATTGATTGAAAGTGTGAATATTCACATATACAACTTTTACACTATTCAAATTTCACACTACTTTATTCAGTGAAAGTGTGAACATCCACACTTAGAGTTTTTTTTGTCACAATAATATTTATATTTACAGGTTTTACTATTCCTACAAGTACACACTATTTTATTTATTAAAAGTGTGAATATTCACACTTACCAAAAATTCACATTAATTAATTTATTTTTTTGTTGATAAATACCAGAAATTCACATTATTTTATTTATAAACTTTTGTACTTACCAAAAATTCACATTTACAATTAAGTTATTTTGTGTATCAATCTAAATATGAATAGGAAAACTCTATTCATACATAAAAGTCATACAAAAACATCACAAGAATGACATGGCAGTGCCATCTTTGTAAATGTAAGTCATCTTCATGGGTTTTATTTTAGAATGAAAGGTACCTATTCAGCCACATCATTATGTATGAATTTTCTGTTTGTATATAACTACTCATATGAATAATATGATTATAACGACACGTTAACTTATATCTCGTTTCACGTTATGTAGATTTATATAGATTAAGGGAAGTTTTGTGCATCAAGAATAACACAAGTCAATTTGGAAAATTTCTCGGATAATTTCTACATACATGAACTAATGCTCCCATAATTTCTATTTTTTTATTTTTATTTTTTTGATTGGCACTGGGGTGTTCGGATCAAAAACCCGACTAATCCACAGGGGTGCACAAGTCCTCAACAAGGAGTTTCCTGCAAGTGTATCACGGTTAATTCAAAGGTTTTTCTCCAGTCCGATGGTCCCAAGGAATTGTTAGCACCTAAGAAGTTTCGATCCTGAACCTTGGAGAGAGCACACTCCCATAATTTCTACATAAACGAATTGATTTCTTTTTAACCGTAATTCAAGCATTATTGATAAATTGTGTGGTTTGTTATGATGTGGGACTTCACAGGTTAATAGATAAAAAGTGGAACTTAATGGTGAACAAATCTCATATATGGGACCTCTCATTAAAAATCCCTAATAATAATTCTTATTAACATGAAAAATAAAGCCTTTGATTTTTTACTCAAAGAGTACATAAACATTTATATAAGATGCCAAATTTGTGTTGGCACAACTTCTTGTTTTGCTATGTTTTGTTGGATTTTAATGTATTAAGCAGTGTTATGTTGTCTTTCTAGAGAAAACACTAGAATTTTGTTATTCCACTAGTGTTTCATTTCAGTCTCTTAGGAAATCTAAATCTTTTGGACGTTTCAATGGAAAAGAAATGAAATTTTGTTCCTTGGCTCCTAAGCTTGAACTCTAATTGCAAGTGGCTCTAACACTGTGGTTAACTCTTCTTTGTACTGATTGCCACTCCTAACGGCTTTGAAAGCAATTAGTTAGTCAGCACAAATAAATGCACCGGAGATCAGACCAGAACTTATCTAAACTAATGTGTCTTAACAAATGCAATATGCTCATACAATTTTTTTGGAGATTAGTTTGGAGCATGCATTTCCTTGTCTCCGAATCATCTTCAATCTTCAACACTCGTACACTCGCCACCACACTAAATTCTAAATCTAGAAACAGGGATTAATCACTGCAAGTCTACAATGATAATGAATGCATGATACACAAAATAATTTCAACAAATTTAATAGCATGGGAAGCTCTACATATAATGATGTGATGTCAATTGACCCCACTAAATTTTGAAAGACCATTGAAAATTTTTTGTTTATTTATATTTTGGGGTATGTAAAACTGACCCTGCTGATTTATAAGATTGAACCAAATGTAAACAATCAAAACAAAATTTTACAAAGATCTAGTATATTTGCTTGTGAAAGTAGTGTTTTTAGGAGACAAATCCTCTGTATCCCAATTTCTCATGTATCCTTGTCTCAAAATTCTTTCCCACCATATGATTGGTGCTGGAGAGATTGATCGTGTGGTATAGAGAGCGTTTGGAGTGTGGGGATAGGGGAAGTCAATATATCTTATTGCTTTTATCTAGTAAGGACTACAATGGTAACAAGAGCCCTTTTACATGATTGCATTGCACAATCGAATAGAAGATCAATGGATGGGTGATTGTTTAATCGCATGTATTAAAATTGAAGTATATGATAGCATTGATAATGACATCATTATCCAATGATTTCAAAATATGAAAACTCATCAAGAGCAATGTGCAAGGTTAAGTATTTAGATTTTTTTTAATAAAGCATTTGTATGAATGTACTAATTTTTTTTTTTACTTGTAAATATCAGAATTTTAAATTGTCTTCATCAAATTATTGAAAATCGATATTTATAAGAGTGAAAAAAATTCTGTATAAATTTTTTTTAAGTTTTTTATTGACCCCAGCGAACAAAAATCCTAAAGCTGCCACTAGTTAAAAGCAATCTTTCTTTAAGATATTTATGTTATGCAACACCAATAATTATATAATTTAGATATTTATGCTCATACTTGAAAACCGAACTTCTTTAAGGGAACAAAGCATTTTATTCCATAATTTCAAATAACATCTATTCAATGCATTCACACTTATCTAAATAGATTAATATTGAAAATCATAGGGATAATATTGAAAAAACAAAATATTATCTACCTTCAATTTTCAAAGTGGACAACAATGTTAGGACGTGTCAAGATAGAAAGGGCTAAAAATATGGGAGTATTGAATTATGCATTTTTGCCATCTAGCATGTTGTCAGTATAGGATTTTTCCAGAGAACAGCATAAAAAAATGTTAGTGACCAATTAAAGAATATTTTGACATTTCCTTTGTCAATCAACATACAAAGGCATATTCTAAGACAATGGAGAATTTTTTTTTGTTTTTTTTTTTTTTGAAATAGCATAGTAGATTTTCTCTTAGTACTGCTGCCACAAAAGTAAGAATTGAACTTTTATGCCAGTTCATTGTATCAAATACACTCAGAAACAGTAAAGAACTCAAAACAAAGAGAATAACCTGGACATTATGAGTACAAAGAATGCGTGTCTGTTGGCTCATAAGAGGACCAAGAATGGCTTCATATAAAAATATTGAAAAATCAAAATATTATCTACCTTCAATTTTCAAAGTAGACAACAATGTTAGGACATGTCAAGATAGAAAGGGCTAAAAATATGGGAGTATTGAATTATGCATTTTTGCCATCTAGCATGTTGTCAGTACAGGATTTTTCCAGAGAACAGCATAAAAAAAATGTTAGTGACCAATTAAAGAATATTTTAACATTTCCTTTGTCAATCAACATACAAAGGCATATTCTAAGACAATGGAGAATTTTTTTTTGTTTTTTTTTTTTTGAAATATCATAGTAGATTTTCTCTTAGTACTGCTGCCACAAAAGTAAGAATTGAACTTTTATGCCAGTTCATTGTATCAAATACACTCAGAAACAGTAAAGAACTCAAAACAAAGAGAATAACCTGGACATTATGAGTACAAAGAATGCGTGTCTGTTGGCTCATAAGAGGACCAAGAATGGCTTCATATAAAATCCAGCAAGCAACTTGTGCATCAACTGCACTGAGGACATCATCAAGCATGATTATATCGGAGCCATAATAAATAGCCCTGTGCAATTTGAAAAACCGTCAGACTTATTTCAAGAAAAAAGTGAATACATCAATCAACCTAGTCCCTCAGAATGCAGTCAGATTGGGCATTAGGGTATAAAAACTTGATGTTACCTGGCCAGAGCAAGACGAGCTCGCTGTCCACCTGATAAGTTGACTCCTTTCTCGCCAATATAAGTCATATCACCTCCAACCATTTGTGAAATATCGAATTTAAGTGCACATGCCTGTAACACATCCGAGTATCTGCTCAAGACAACTCCACAGTTGGAAAAACAAAAGAGAGCTTCCATTAAGGATTTGTCTAAAAAATTTCACTAATGCTTCAAAAACTGTAAAACATAATGATTGCCTTATAGTATATTACATTAGGGAACAAGTTTAAACTATGGAAAATGAAAAATAGAGGGGCATTGCAATTAAATTTATTAAAAAAATAAATAAATAAATAAATAAACATATATTTTGCAGCGTTTATGCAGTTCACCTTCTTGGATCGTAATCCTTCCCAAACAGAATATTATCACGAAGTGTTCCAGAAAGAATCCATGGGACCTACAATTTCAATCAGAGAAGGAAGACAGTATTCCAAAGTAGTGTAGAAATGGCTGTATTAGGACAAGTGTATAAACCTGTGGTACATATGCTATAGATCCACTTGAATGTATTGATCCATTGATGAGCCTCATTTCTCCCAGAATCAAATTTAACAAGGATGATTTACCCGAGCCAACCTGAATGCACATAGGTTGGTAAGAAAAGGGTGGATGCAATGACTGTGGAAATAATCTTTTACTCTAAATATGGGATCAACAGTATCAAACATTTGACGTCCAGTGGTTAACTATATGCCATACAATTAAAACTTTTGTTAAGAGACATTATACCATTGAATTTATTTCGGGCAGAAGAAAATCTCTTCAATTTCAAGCTAGAAGTTGTTAGCAATCATGCCTAGAAGTGTCGCCCAAAACTTGCCTTTGGTCAAACTACTTGCTTCCAAGTGCTTAGTTAAATTCTAGACAAGTTCCAGGCAATAGCGTATTGATTGCATTAGATTGACTGACATAATTACATCCAGAAACATGATTTTTGATGGAAAAGGGTACAGTTTATTCATGCAAGCAGGGGGATTAAGTTAAGTGTTTTGATTATACTAGAAGTAATTCTGGGGCCTCTTCTTCTTTGTTGGTGGAGAAGAGGAGTTGGTACATGATGCTGAGATGGCCAGGCATGCACAGGATTTATTCAAGGAAAAAAGAAAGAAAGAGAACTACAGGAACAGATCTAACCTCGCCAATAACTGCAACCAAAGAACCTTTGGGAAGGTGTAGAGTCACATGATGCAATATCATATCTCGTTCCTGCTCATCATTGGTTGACCATGTACAACATGCATCACGGATGACAATAGCCATATCAGACTGGTCTTCCGAGCTAGACGATGGTGGAGACTTGCCTGTCTGTCCCAGATCAGGTTCATTCTCAGAGCAGGAGAGGAACCTGCTCAACCGCTTGGTAGATATAATGGCCTGGGATAAAGTAAAAACAAAAATATTTATTCCAACTAATTAGCATTCACTGCGAAAAGACAGTCCTTTAACAATGGAGGCACGTGGACAACTCACATCAATCAACCCATTAATGACCCAAGGGAATGAATTTAGCGGGGAGATCAAACTATTAAACAGAGCAAGACAAGTGAAAACCTGCAAATAAGTTCAGTTTTAAAATTGAGAGTTTCTCTTGTCGTTTGGGAAATGCATGTGCTCAAGAAAACAAGTACCGTACCGTTGCCGCATCAAGTTGGTTCCCCATCAATGAATAGAGACCAAATGTGAACAAAGAGAAAAGAGTTGGTGTTGTTGCCCAAAAGAATACACACCATGCATCCAAATACTTCCGAGTCTAATAAAAATAAAAGTAAAATAGTTGAGGAATTAATCTTGACAAATTGAATGAAACAGACACCCTAAATATTGTATCACTGTAATTACTGTAGGAATTAAAGAAAGATTTCTACCGATAAGTGTTTCACTTCCGATGATCGGGTCTCCGTCAACCAACTAGTAAAAAGAAGTTCCCATGCATACATTTTCAAAGTGCGCATAGAAGTCAAAATTTCTCCTGTCCTTCTAATCCTGCCAAAGAGCAACACGTTAAGATGTAGCAATTTCTAGACAGTATACATGATCCATACCCTTCTTTGTTACAAAAGAAACCTTTAAACATAATGAGAAAAGATACACGTCCAATAGTGAACGTCTTTCATTCACCCTTTCTTTTGTTTTTTTTCTATTTATTAGTTGTTTACATAAGTTAGCCACTTCCCAATATTTTTGTCGACTACTTGATGAAACCAGACTCCACTTGATTATTCACAAACTGGGTCATTTCTGTCATTGTCATGCAAAACACTAGGATGAAATGTTGTTGAATCATCACTAGTATCAGGGTCTAGATGTTTTTGAGGTATTATGATATCCAACTCTCTTGTTTGGAGATATAGAACCCTGCATTAAATTGAGAAACTTTTCAGGAGTTCTTCCTCCTGAAAAAATAGAATCATCTAAATAGCTTGCCTAAGATTTCTTACATCAACTTCAAGTTCCTTAGAATTAATAGCTAATTTGATCATATATCTTTCCCTGACTTCGTAAAACCAAAACTTTGGATGCTTTGTTTCTGTTAAAATCCACCTACTCTCCACCTACTTCACCCACTTAAACCTACTCCACTAAACCTAACCCACTAAATCCACATACTCTCCACCTACTTCACCCACTTAAACCTACTCTACTAAACCTAACCCACTACACCACTACCACCTCCACTTCACCTACTCCTTACCTACTACACACTCACCCTCTTCTATATATAGGAATCATGAATCATTGTAATTGATATCAATATAAATCAATCAATAATACAATTCTCTATTTCTCTTTATATATTAAATTTTACAGTTTCTAATATGGTTGAAGGATGGGGCATCCCAAACTGTGTTCGTTTGTTTGAAACAATGTTTTACTTGAGTATTTTGGGCGATTCATATTCACTTTTTTTTTTAATCAGAAACTTGTGTGTAACTTCATTCCTTACAACAGTCCAGGTTCATTCTTTATGGACAAGACTTTGAAGAGCCGGTTCTATCTAAACTGCACAAAGGAATGTCTTCAAAACAATCGGTGAAATCCATGCAGATAGCCTCAACAATTGGGAAAGATGCTTTTGGGGGAAAATGGTATGGGAACCAAGGACAATGAGACTCAAACCAGATAACTACAGAAATTTCATCAATACATGAGGAGTATTCCAAGTAGCGGTATTTTCTTTCCTTAATATATTGTCCCAAACTCGACTTTCCTTCTTGGACATACCAAATAATTTGGAATTTATTCACTCAAAAAAAACTAATTTGGAATTACATAGTTTACAAATTCCTTGTCATAGACAGAAGGTTTAAACCAATCAACAGCCCCTATGAGTAGTTAGTTGCTGTTGAGACTAGCCGCTCATACCTTCATCACATATCTTTTCTGATGATAAGAAAAATGAATGGTTGGCTCAGTTTGCACATAGCACCTTCCACTATTTTCACAAATACCAGAATAGTAATCTCAAATTGATGAATTTTTTTGCAATTAAAATTAAACTACCAGAGGTTCATGCTTTTGTATGATACTAACGGTTTCAATGATTAAAAGCCTTCCAAAATTGACACCCAAAAGACACCAAACTTCTGGACTGGAATTTTTAAAAAAGGGAGCAATCTCCGACTTTAGTTTCAGCCAGCTTTGGTAACAGTTTTTTATTTTATTTAATAATTAAATTAACAAAATTCATTAAAGATGCCAACCCACTTTGGTAACAGTTCAATGAAGAAAAGATTATTGAAGAATGGAAAAACCAGAAGGTTGCAAGCCAAAGAAACCATAGACGTCAAGGAATCGGTTACCAGATATAGTGTTGGCAATTTCTGTATACAAAATTTCAGGTAGGTTGTTTAGCCAACCAGCATTGATCGTGTTCATGAGATGTTTGTTGAAAACCAACTGAAGCTATATGTTTGGCTCGATGTGTTCAAATGGTAGTTCACTCATTGAGCATACTGTGTTAGTCTAGGACACATCTTTTTATGCTTTGTCTGACCATAGTTTGTTTATATTTTAGTTCAACATGTTTTATATTTCATTCATTTAAAAACAGAACCAAAATTAAAACCAAGAGCCCGACGCTCAAAAATAGCTCAAGTGGCTCAGATCTAAAAGTTATGCAAAATTCCAAAGAGCCGTACTTGATACCCGATTGATGGCTGATCAAGCAGGATTCTGATCTAGGCTTGCAAAAGCTAAGAGAAGGTCATTCAAAGGGCACTCAAGCGGCACGTCAATTTTTGGAATCCATGTGAAACTTGTTTTCTACGAAACTTAAAAAGGGCAACTCTATTCTTTGTCAAGTACATACAAAACTTTGTGGTTCCCTAGCCTCCCTAGAATTCCAAGGCTTTCACAACTCTCACCTGCATAAACAAACTGAACAGAGATCTGAATATTCTTTTGGACCAAAACTTCTAAATACTTTTCAAATTGTATTTTCTGGAAAAACCCAAACACTCGGACCTTTGCATTTTTGCATTGGTTCTTTGCCAAACATTGTTCAGAACCTTGCTGCTGCATTATGACATCAAAGCAAGGAGTTCTGTGGTTATGCAAACCAAAATCAAGAGAAGGCTAGTTAAGCTTGGAACCACCTCAAGCATGGAGATCAAACACGAAAGTTGAGGTACAAGACTCTGATTCGAGGGCTAACCAGGTTGGGTTGTAAGTCTTCAATTGTCTTGTAATTATCTATTGATACTAGACTGTTTGCCAGCAAGGTTATCATGGTTTTTCCTTATGTTGTGTTCGGATGGGGGATTTGGGAAGTGATTTGAAAAGGGAAAGGGAAAAGGTAGGTGGAATATGAATAAAATATACCTCCATTTCATCTCGTTTCACACACACCTTGTCCCTTTCCCTTTCCAAATCCCTTCCCAAATCCCCCAACCAAACACAGCGTTAGGGATTGTTGCTCCTAAGGTTTTCTATGTATATCATTGTGCTTTTTCTTTGTTCTAATTATTGCAATATTGTGTGGTAGGTTTGGTTGAATTGATTAACTAATATATTGCCGGTTCCAGTTAAACTTTTAAATTGGTAGTAATCCTAGAGTTTGGCCTATCAACTGGTAGGAATCCGTAACACCTAACCAAGATCGGTGAGACACAAAACACATAAAAGGACAAACTCACAAGAATGATAAATCACACGCACACACAAAAAACACAAGGTTTATATGGTTCACCCCAAAAGTAGGACTACATCCACGATTTTTGCAATTTTCACTATGATCAGAAAGGTTACAAAAGATTACAAAAATAGCTGCCTCCCCTCAACTATAAACACAGAGAAATTAGGGCAACAGGTCACAAGTGTCGGGTAGTTAGTGTTTAGTACTAATCAAGATCCACACTACCCCAACATTAACCCCCTTCAAGACACAAACTCAATTCGCCTCTGAACTTTCAGAGTCACTTATAGAACCATTCAATATCGCTAATCAAAAATCACTTCATGGAACCAAGAAATTGCTTGCTTTTTTAGTAGGGAATATCCCTCAACTACAAAAGAGAGGAAACTTGCATCTGATATCATGTTCAAAATTTTAGCTTCCTCCTGATTTCATCATAATTGAAATTTATAGATTAAAATGTAATTTGTGACGCAATAAAAGAAAAGTCATTATCAATGTAAGAGTGAGACTCATAACATCCTAGATTAGTTTCCAACAAGTAACAGTTCACAACACTGACAACAAAAATTTCAAAAATACTAAGAGTAATCATAAAGAAACAATAGACTAGGTGAAAACCACAACTATATGCCAAATATGGATGGTCCCCAACAAAAGTCCACTAGGCTGCTGCTACTTAAGCCAGTGAATATTCTTAAATGGGCCTCAACAAATTAAGTGATTATAGAATTGAATTATCTGTGTTTAAGCACATCAACTCAATTGTATATGCTGTCTTCCACAGTGTATTGATTCATAAGCTTAATAGTTAGAAGTCTTCACGCAATCTTGCAATTTTGGGGTGAACATAGTAGAGGCTTGGTACTAACTATATATTCAAATTTAGGAGAAAATCAGTATCAAAATTTTGCAAACTCCTCTAACATTACAGAAGTATATAGAATAAATTACATACCTCTCATCCTTTTGCTCCATCATTTTGTTGGTCGCACTTGCAATCAATTTAGCAATCCATCTATTCACTACACAAGATATTTATTTAGAAATGCATGTCTATGCCCTAGAGATAAAAACCCACAACAATTTGGAAATATGTCAAAAGGAGCACTTTTACGAATTCTACAAGACAATTATGGAGAATTTTGTAGAATGTTTGAACACTATTTTAACATGACAGCCTGTATAGTAGTGTCATTAGTCATATACAAGTGTCCCAGTGGACCAATGGAACCGGAGGTTTCTTTTGTGGTGCTACCTAGCATTGAAAATAATCTGAAAAATAATGGCTACTTAAAAGTATAAACAAGTCATAGAACTTTAAAACCATACAACCAAACATAAACACAATAACAATATAATTATAATTTCAAAGATCCATAGGGAAAGGTGCAAGGTTCCAGCAGTGCAAGTACGTAGAGAGAAGTGTGCCAAATGGATTAGAAAAACAAAATAGTAATTGAATTGGAAAATACTGTAAAAATAAATAAATAAATAAAAAAGAAAAAAAAAAGAAATAACAAGAAGAAGAAGAAGAAGAAGAAGAAGAAGAAAAGGAATTGATTGCAACAACAATGATTAACAATAGCAGCAATGATAATAGTAACAACAGACATAATAGCAATAGAGGTGACCTTCAATGGTTAAGACTTATTCTAATAATCTTGAAGTTATGGGTTCAAGTCTTAGGGCCACCACTTTGTACATTATGCCAAAGGTTAGGTGTGCACTCAATCTTTCTCCTCCTAAACACACATTAATGTGTATGTACTAATTGAGCGTTGTTTTTTTTTAGCCATAACAGCAACTTATTTTACACATTTGAAGATTTGGGTGGGTTTTAGAAGGTGTGGGCTCATTACGCCTTCACTTATTTGAATACATCTTATTTCTATCAGAAAGGTTTCTCATTTTTCTTATTGCGCATTCCACTTCTTCCAAAACATTTTTACTTTTACCAGGAAAACAAAAAAGAAATAACAACACAATAAAGAGAAGAATTATTGTCATTATCACCATGATCATTAGTTTCTAGGAACTAATCAAGGCATCAACACATCTCTTATAGAGCTCTATTCTCCTCTCGGCTCAGGAGATCTCCACTACCACCCTCTCTCTTCTAAGAGTGCCTCAGTTCTCTCCTCCACCTCCGGTGATCCCGTGCCAGCTAAGCGCCAACCATCTTCCTAGATCACCTTGTTTCCCAAAACTCAATCACTCACATTATACTCCACCGGGTAAGAGTGGAACTCACTAAGCATGGTTCTTCGAGTCTCTCAGGCAAACGTGTTAATCTGTCTATACATAATTATGTACAGAGCATACAATCAATGAGACCATTCTAGCATTCTTATCTTTCCACTGTTTCATCTCTTCTAAGCATTTGTATATCTCAAAGCCTTTTTCTTATTTGAAGAGATATAGAATCAAATGAGAGGGATTGCAGTTTCCAAGCTTTCCCACAGTAAGATTCATATTTGACAAGACACATTAACAATTCCAAGGGTTAGTAAACTGCTCCCACAATATTGACCAAATATTGACAGAGAGAACTATTACAGAAATTTGTACAAATGCTAATAACTTCATCAAGAAGTGTAAGTAGACATAAGCATATGGGCAGCATATTGATGCATATCTGCAGTGTAAGTAGGCAGGCATAACAAGCACCGGAACAAATGAATGAGAGAGAGGGGGGGAGACAGAGAGGGAGGGAGAGAGAGAGAGAGAGAGATTATAAATGATCATTGCAGATCTTTTACAATGAGTGAATAAGTGACAAATATTTGTACCTGGTATTAACAAGATGGTAATCGCAATTCCAGAAAGAAAAGCATACTTGACCTGTGTATACAGTAGAAACAATGCAACTCCAATTTGAAAAGGCAAGCTGAAAATTTTGCACAAGAATTAGAATTGTTTGAAGAATCAAACAAAAAGTCAATCTATAGATACAAAAAGAATTGTTGTCATACATACAGAGTATAAAAATATGTGAAGATCTTTTGGGATGTGTAAAAGTTGCATGGTGATTCTAGATTTTTTGCAATTTTTACCTCTTATGGACAGCCCATATGGCTGTCATTAGCATGACCCTTTTTTAGACCATATACAGTTACCATGATATCAACTACTAACCATAAACACTACTAACTAAAATTTATCACTTGCAATTAGATTTTAAAAAGATTGGACATCGAACTAACATCAGCATCATATACCCACTCAGATGCCTAGATAAGGGAAGATGCTCTCAAAGATTCATGCTGCATGTATACCATTGAGGTGGACACCAAATTCATTCACATTTATCAATTTTTAATCTTTCTATATAATATATTTGTATCAATCATTTGGCATTAGTTTAAAAATTGGTTGGCAATTCAATCTTAAGTTGGATCTCAATTTTGGCCCAACACAAATCCAGGCTATCACTAGTCCTAAATTTAAGTGGGTAATAGAATGCCTTCATGGCTGTAATTTCTCCATGGTTATTGTATTTAAGTTTGTGATCATACAAAATGTGCATCAAAAGGCAGCAATGTCATCCCTAAGGGGTAACATTGTAAAAATAAGGAAAGAGGAAACAATGAGCAAAAATGCAATAAACTCAAAAAGGGGAAGCAGTACATGATTGACAAATTCCAACAATACATGCACAGTTCTAAGGATTAACAAAGCCAAAATGGTTCAGTAGTTCTAGAACAGGAATATAATACACACGTTTTTTTCATTGTATAAGGTTGTTTATGAAGAAGGACCTTGAGATGAAAACAATTAGAAATGAATATTAAATTATAGGGCCCTTCATAAAAATTCAAGACAAGCTATTTCTTTTACAGCTTCTTTTATGTAAAGAAGAAAGTTGGCCTCTTTTTGCAAGTGTCAAAAGTTTCAAACAGCTATGCAAGCATGATAACAAGTCCCCATCATGCTAGCCACCACCAGGAAGAACTGTAGAAGTGTTCTACACACTTTAGCTCTTTCCAGTGGCTGAAAGAAAATAAATAAATAATAATAAATTCTAATAATCATGCATTTGCAGCAAACAGAAATTGGAATCAGCATTAATTAGCAAAATTAAAAGAAATTTTGGAATTTACATTAGTTGATTTTTTTTATTTTTTATTTTTTTTTTGATAAATTTTTACATTAGTTTATTGTTAGAAATGCATGCATGAATTATTCCACATGGTTTCATAGTAATATTGCCTGAGATCATATATAGGCCTTATAAAAATGGAGACAGTGAGATAAGAAACCAGTTTGAATATAAAAGAAAGCCATCTACACCTTAAACTATCTCCATAAGCACATTGAAGGCAGTGTAGAGTGACTATCCTAAAGTGGATTGTTTTATTAATCATTGATAAAAAGTTGACAAGCCATGGAACAAACACAATGAAATTCATGGATCAGTAAGAATGCTTGGAAAAATGACCATACCCTACTTCTGCCCTTAAATCTGTAAATTGGAAATACTAGTTCTACAATAAAACAATTTAGAGGAGAAAACAATTTAAACTAACTTACAGAGGATAAGATGCATATATATTTTTTGATAAATAAATGCAATATTATTAAAGAAACTGCATCAAGATGATGCAAAAGAATACAACACGAGATAAGATGCATATATATGGTTGGAAAAGCATAATAAAAGTAAATTATGACCTCCACATATCATAAAGACTGTTAAACAAGTTGACAGTTCGATCAGCATCTATAGACATGAACGTCTGAATTTCCCCTTCAGAAAATTTTGACCTTTCTGCCAGGCTAACGCATAGGCACTGGAAAAAATGCATAAAATAAAAATAATAATAAATAACAAAATGAAGATAAGAAATAAAGTTCTATTACATAAAGTAAACTGAAGTCATAAAGATATAAAAGGACACAACAAAAGAACAGAAATATGAAGTTGAAGATTGTTTTCACTATCCATCCATAGAAAGAAAAAAAAGAAGCTGAGCTCATATTCAATTCAGAGTTTTACTATAGGATGGAAAGTATGACATATAAAACATGGATGAAAGCAATTCAACTTCAAATATAAGGTAGAAAACATGTATGTGAAAGGACATTCAGCAAACAAATGATTAAGAGAATCAGTATTTCAACCATTTGAAAGCATGAAATTGCAACAGTGATTAGTTACTTCTAAACTTTCTTAACTGGCAGTAAGCCATGCAGATACTGAATGCTTCAAGCATAATAGACATATCAAAATTCAACAGAAGAATTATTGCTTTATCAAGCCACCTATTGTAAGGGTTGCTCTTTCGCAAAAGCATCATATGGCTGCATCCTACACTAGTAACTCAACTCAACTCAACAAGTCAAACCAAACTAAGCCTTGTGTCCCACTCAAATGGGTTCGGTTACATGGATCCTTTTTCACCATTATACTCTGTCAACAAGTATTTGTCCTAATTACTTGGGTTAGCTACACGGATCTCTTCCTCTAACCGGCTTTATTCTCAAGCATATCCTCAGTTAAGTTTAAGATAGTCGCATCCTCTCTTATCACCTCAATAAGCTGTGCATAACATATCAAAGGGGCTTCATTACATAGCTCCTGTTAGAAAGTTAAAAAGGAATAGAGAAGATATACCTTTCGATAGATAACGGTCATAACACTAGATCGCATCTTCAGCTTTAGTTTGGAAAGATGAAAAGTATATTGTGTATCAAGGAAGGACCTGAACCATTGAAAAAATATTCTCAAAATATTACAGCAGAAAGCAGTTAGTAGGATGACAAATGCATCAAAACAACCAACAATGTACAGACATGTAATTTTTATAGTGACAAAGACGATAATAAAAGAGAGCAACAGTGGTAAGATATAATTACTGAACTGTATGGATATGAAGGATATATATATGTATATGCGTGTTCTCTATTAGCACACAGCTGCTCTTCCTCCAATCTAAGATTAATATTGACCACACAAACCAGGACCGTAAAAATTTTGGCTGAGATTAATATCTTAATTATTATATTCTTACAACCAACAACATTTTATAAAGAATCCACAAATACTCAACACTGGAGCCTCATAAGAAAGTGAAGCAATGTAATGAAAAAAATATTTTTAAAAAAAAGACTGCACCAAGCATAAGGGTTCCTAAGTGCCTTATATTTTGGGACAAGTGGGAAGTCCAAATCTACAACGAGCATAATGTAAGAGAGATACCTAATGATGAAGATGGGGGTTTTTCATCATTGTGTATTAATCTAAGAAGCATGGACACGGATACGAATGCAAATATGGAACATAAGGATTTCAAAAAAATGGAGACACGGTGGGGATACGACAATAAAATATGTTTTCATATACTTTTGTTTGCTATCTAGATTAATATTACATCCACAAACAATCAATATCAACAAAAAACTAACTTTAATTCTGTTTTTTTTTTTTTTAAAAAAAAAAAATCACTTTTAAAGTGACACTCACGGTTTATATCTTTTTTTTTATAGATAACCTATTAAGTATTTAAATCTAAGAAAAAAATAATAAACATTTAATTCAACATTCATTAAAAAGCACTAAAGAAAATGGGAGAAAAAATAAGTTGGCATGGCCCTAGTGTGTCCTGAAGTGTCCCCGGCGTGTCCCTAGAAAATAAATTGATTAAGGGGACACACTACCCCGCCATGTCCATATGTCTAACACAGCTACGGCACTTGTTTTGAAGTGTAAGTGCTTCATAGTTATTAATTCATGGTAAATACTCCATATCTAAAGAATTTTATAATGCAATTTTCTCATAAATTTAGAGTAATGGTGTAGGACAATTTTAGAAAACTTCGCCTAAGGCTGTCTACAATTGTAATTGTAGTGGGTTTTGGTTGTGGGAAGCTTCTAGGGTTAGGGTTTTAAAAGGAAGAAGAATGTTTCTGGTGTTTAGAGATGAATAGGTGTGAAATTTAGTTTGATTTTCAAAAGTGGCAGCTTGTTGGATTTTCAAAGTAGAGGCTATTTACGGGCGCTAACAATAAGTAATTTAGGGTTTAAATTGTTAGATGGAAGGCCAATATGTAGGAGAAAGGATTAGACTGGGCTAGAGCTTGATTGGGAAGGATTTCCTAGAATAGCACTTGGTATTTCGGCCAAAGAAGGAAGGAGAAGAAGAGGAGGAGGATGGACAGAAGGAAAGAGGTATTTCATCCTTGCAAGTGTTAAGACAAATTCACCCACACACAAGATAAAATAAGTACCTTCTAGACTGAACCTAGATTCAAATTGTTAACTAAAACCATAATTTGAATGATACATTCTTTTGAAATTTTCTATGAGAGAAAAAATAATTAAATATCTTCTTCTGTATCTATAGAACCAGTTTGAAGTAGATAGATTAGTGAAAAAAGTAACTGACAATGTAACTCTGCAAGAAAATAAAAATACTGAATTTTAATAAGATCATTATAATCTGAAAATAAGACTTACTTTAATACAGATGTAAGACCCAAGGAAATTGCAAGGATATAACCATCAAGATGCTGAGAACCTGATTCATTAAATAAATAAATAAAACCAACTGCATCAATGTAACGCCATTATAGGTCAATACTCCAAATTCTTGTTCTAAGCTGAAACACACACACAAACAAACAAAAAAAGGGTATAATTCTTGGCAACCCTCAGAAAGGAGATAGAATGCTTCTGAGACACTTCTGTTAACAATACTCCCACAGTGGATTTATGTGTAAATCATTCACTTAAAAGGCACCACAAAAAAAAAGAAAAAGAGAGATTATTTCCAAGTTAAAACACTGTATGCCAAATGCAATCATGTCTCCAAGCAAACATCAACACTAAATTTTTTTACAGAACCTATTTGTCCTATGGCCCTGTCCCTTCACAGCCTGGTAGTTGCATGAGTCAATCCTTACATACAAAGTAAGGTTTTAATAATGGGCATCAAGGACCCATTTTAAATCCAACTGCGTATTGTTGCTTAAAGGAATCAGGCTAAACTAGGGGTGCAACTCAGGCGGATTCGGTCGGGTTGGGAGGTTATCCAAGCCTGGCCTAAGTCGTGCTGAAACTTGTCCAGGCCCGAATTGTAACCCAAGGTTGCATGCCCAAGCCCGACCCGAGTTAAACCCGAATTGTAAATGAATTTTAGGTTTTTTTTTTTTTCCAGCTACATTATTAAATTATTAAAATTTGACTCTATTTATATACTTTAAATATAGAAAATCATTAATACCACCAAAACAAATAATTTATATAATGTAAGAGAGATACCGCTGTAGTAGTCCTTACAATTTATGAGTGAAAATAAAAAAAAAGTAAGATTTTATGTTATTCGTATATATAATAATATATATTCAATATGATTTAATAATCTAAATTACTTTAATATCATGTAATGGCTAATAATTTATATGTATATTTAATATTTTTATATATCTATATATGTATAATTCAGGCTTCGGATTGCTCGGGTCGTTTGACGTCTTTGCCCAAGCCCGTCCAAATTTAATTCGGGCTTTTAAATTTTTGCCTAAGCCCGTACCGAATTCAAAAATATCTTGTCCAAGCCTTAAAAAAATTCGGGCTGGGTTCAGGTTGCTCGGGTTGAGCCCGCCTAAGTTGCACCCCTAAGCTAAACACCTTTTTAGTCATGAGAACAAGTATCAGAATCAAAATGCACAACTTCAATGCTTTTAATCATCCAATTTGAATTGGACAAGAGCTCCGCAAAGACAACAGATGGCAGAATCAAAATGCACAACTTCAATGTTTTATAATTATTCATTCGAAGTTGACAGAAGCTCTGCAAAGACACTTTATCTTAACCTTTTTAGCCTTCTTAAATTGAACCATGACCCCTGCAACCAGATTCAGATTAGTTTACCAAGAAAAGACTGAGAGGCAAAATTTATCATATCATGCGCTTAGAAGTGGAGGCATATTACAGAAGGCATCAAATTTGACCCAAACGGTAATATTGAGTCTCAGAATAGTGATTATGATGCAATCTATGTTCTAAAAAATTCTGAAATTTAATAATATAGAAAATAACCAAGAAACCAATTTATCAACCCAAATTTAATGGAAAAGAAAAAGCTATTAGAATCAAACAAATTGCAAATTATGCAGTGACAGCATGAATCACATTGTCAGTCTCTTTTCAGCATTGCAGAAATAAGAACTGAATATAAGAACATATCAAATATATAAACCTTGTTGAAGAAATTGAAGCAGCTGATTGAGAAGCAGTGGTCCCACAAAACCCATACAATCATTAAGCACCTGCAAAAAAAGTTATAATTTATCCAGTAGGAAAAGCATGAAATCCAAAGGTAATTGAGATGAGATCCTAGGTTTTAGCATTTGAAAGAATCCCACTCTTTTAAGCTTCCTTAATAGGTTCATTAAGTGATGAATCTCCATAAATTTCATATATTTAATCAATAGGCAACCATCAAAGTATTAGAATTGATGCATGCACTAGAAATATTTAATATCAGTTCTCTTCTCCAACATTGGCACTCTGGAAACAAGTAGAGACCATTCCATGTCCACCCATGTTGAGGGGGTCTAGTTTGGATGCTTCCATTAGAATCCACCATATTTGCATCAAAACAAGTAAATGAACAAGTGAATTATAACTTCTTGCTAGAATAGCTTCTTCATCATACCCTTCTGCATGGCAAACTTCAACACATCACAATTGCAAATACACCCAGAAGACCGTCATCTCCTTGTCTTGCAAGTACAACAAAAAGGGTACAACGAACAGAGAGGAAGACAAACAATGAAAATGACATTGCAAAAGTTAAGGTACCAAGATTGAAAAGTCTACCAACACTAAACTTGATCATTATACAATGATATCATTTCTACTTATCTTTTTTTTAATAAACAACAGCTTTTTTAAAAAAACTACATGTATTATAAATTAGAAATGGCTTTAAGAATCAAAACTCACAATGCATGACATGTTTCACGAAACGCATATTTAGATTTTACACAATCCTGCTGTCTGGGCAATGATGCAAGGCCCCGTTTGTTTGGAGAGTTAGAGGGGGGATTGGGATTGGTAGTGAGGTGGGACCCACTAACATTGTGTTTGTTTTGAGAATAGTGAGCTCCGGATTATAAATTCCCTTGGGGAGGGGATTCGGATGGGCCTCCAAGACTTGGTATTAGAAAAATAGTCCGCTGGACTAGAAATTTTTTATTTTATATATATATATATATTTTTTTTGACATTGACACTTTTAAATGTTAAAATTGATCATTAATGTATAATTTTTTGTATTTTTTGTTAAGAAAAAATCATATTTTATTTGTTTTATTTTTTTCTGGAAATTTTTTATTTTTTTTATTTTTTTTTAAATTTTTTACATGTTGGGCATTTTTTTTAAAACATTAATATTTAATGTTTTTGTATTTTTCTTATTTGTTTTATTATTTTATATAAAAAGAATTTAACAATCCCTATACTAACAACTATTATCAAAACAAACACAATTTTATTTAATCCCCTCATTATCAATCCCCTCCATTCTACTTTTGAAAACAAACAGGGCCTAACTTCTGGATGAAATCTTAGCACACCGCAATCCGCATGCCTTTTCTTTCATGGAATCTAGTACAACCATCTCCTCCCAACACTTGATAATAATTAACAAGGCACCTTGAATTTGGGTCTTCCATGTTAAAGTCTGAACCCCAGTATAGCAAAGCTATACAGAGGTCCAAAGAGGGCAGGCATTGTCTCTAGCACTCAGTCTTGCTGAACCATGGAATACCAAAGATGCAAAACTACGCCAGTATTTAAAGTACCTCGCCTATCTACTTGACACGACCCTCATCATTTACTGCAATCCATAAGAGATCTAAAAAAACCTCTTCCAAGGGGTGCTTCACTAACCAAATATCATACCCAAAGCTACCTATATACCCACACCACAACTATGAAGATAATGGCCTTGTTTGGTTTCGCTTTGGGAAAAAAAATTTGGAAAATTTTTTTGAAATTTTGTTTGGTTTGTAATTTTTCTCAAAAAATATTCAAAATCACTCTCTCTCTTACACATTAATCAATCACTTTTTCTCCCTCCTCTCTCATTTTCAATCACTTTTTCTCTCGCATACATCTACTCAATTACAACAAAATATCAAATCATCCCAAACTCCCAAACTAGGGCAGGCATTGTCTCTAGCACTCAGTCTTGCTGAACCATGGAATACCAAAGATGCAAAACTACGCCAGTATTTAAAGTACCTCGCCTATCTACTTGACACGACCCTCATCATTTACTGCAATCCATAAGAGATCTAAAAAAACCTCTTCCAAGGGGTGCTTCACTAACCAAATATCATACCCAAAGCTACCTATATACCCACACCACAACTATGAAGATAATGGCCTTGTTTGGTTTGGCTTTGGGAAAAAAAATTTGGAAAATTTTTTTGAAATTTTGTTTGGTTTGTAATTTTTCTCAAAAAAATTTCAAAATCACTCTCTCTCTTACACATTAATCAATCACTTTTTCTCCCTCCTCTCTCATTTTCAATCACTTTTTCTCTTGCATACATCTACTCAATTACAACAAAATATCAAATCATCCCAAACTCCCAAACTCCAAAACTATTTTCAAAATATACAACCAAACAAACTACAAAAATTTCTAAACTCTCTTCCCAAAATATTTTTTGAAAGCTTATCTCCCAAAGTCAAACCAAACAAGGCCAATGTGTTTCAAGAATTCATCTAAATACCTTTCCAGAAACCCGCCCCATATAATGCCTCTACTCCTCTCTTACTTCTCCCCCCTTGCCAAGAAAGGAAAAAGTTAATAATTATGATCTCCAACTTATTTTTCATCCCAAATACTTCCCATAATTATTCTTCTTTTTTATCTTTCGCATCCAATTCCATATAGTCACCAAGCTCCACCACACTTAAAATGCTAAATTTTGCTAACATGGACAAGGGCAAAGATAATAACCTTATCTCCCTTCCCTATTTCTGCAACTCTTCCTCTTTGACAAAATCAAATTGATTTGAGTCTTCTTTAAAAGCAAAATATCTTCTTACCAATCAAATGAAAAACAACACAAATAAAATTTTGACTAATTATTCTTGTTTTACTTCACCGATCATATGCTACACAATCAGCAGTTTAACAGGAGAAATATAGAAACTAAAGGTAACAAAAAAAGAAATAATTCATTATTTCGAAAGTGAAAATAGTCATAAAAGTTACTTGAAAGCACACACTTGCCCAGGTAGCATAGCCAATCAAAAGGAAAATAGCTACAATCAAAAGGGGCTCAAAGAGTATACAAACACACACCCACATAAGTGCATATATTTCAATAACCAACGATGGAAAAGGTAAAAGGGAGGTCTCACAAGTTAGCAACACATTGGTATAGACTAAACAGGTATTGGTGCAGCGTTTTTATTTTTCATTTTGTTCCTATTTTGGCTATCTAGCAAATAAAGGAGGAAAAGACATCTCAATATAAATTTATCCCAAAAAAAAAAAAAAATCTCAATATAATATTACCTTTAACGCACCTAGACGTAGATATGGCCATCCATACGCAGTAAATATTGCTCTAAAGAAGGAAGGATGAGAGCAGTTATTTCTTTGTTGAGTTTGCCAAGAGCTTAGCAGTGTATTAAGGCTGGAAGAAGGATCCATATCATTGGGTAGCTGAAGCAAATCTTCAAAGTCAAGCTGCTTTATCGCGCCTTGTTCCATTACAGAATTGATAGATTTGAATGTCATGAGATGCCAAACGCCATGACCAATTGCCTTTTGTAACCAAGTAAAACAGAATCCATTAAGAGCAGGAAAGAAAGAGCCATGCCATTAATATTTAAGCTTTACTTGTACCATTTACACATGCAACAATTATGTGATTGACTTTGCATCTGATAATCACCATTGGATACAGCTTGAAAATAGGTGAGATACAAAACTTACAAATAAAACTCACCACAATCTTCTTAATGGAAACCATTACAATAATCTGAACCACTTTTGTGAACAATGGCAAGACCAAATCCAATATGCATGGATTAGGCGTGATGTATGATACAAAAGAAAAAAATAACATTTTCAAGACCAAAATACTCATATATGACCATAAAATACATATGTATGTGTGCTTTAGTAACTAACGGTTTATGATCCTCCGTGAGTTGTTAGTAGAAAAATTGGCTTCAATGATTTTGTAGCAAATCAAAAAGAAGAATACTGGACGATGAGATTGAAGTGTTATTACCTTTTTTGATCAACAAAAGATTCTTTACACAATGGATAAAAAGTAAGCCCTAGCTGTGTTAACAACCAACTCCTCCAATAAATTAAGCTGTTAGGATGTAACACAACTATTTATGTTACTATACCCCCTCACTAAGTGGCCAAACTCTTTAGCCATGAGTGGGTCAAACACACATATTTATTATATTTATCAAATATGCAATCAGGTCTATTTCCTCCAGAAGTTTAAGCTAAAGAGAGGGACCAAGTCAAGAAGCCATATTCATATGCTTTTTCAAGTGCACTAAGGTAAAATATATTCGAATTGGCAAATGAGATTCCTCAAATGAAACATTCCGTCGAACATTGTAACTATGAAAGAGAGAAGAATTTGAGGCAGTATTAATAAGAGTTTAAAAGATAAGAATTCTAAGCATCCTACTTTATATGGCACAACAATTATTTTGGCCTTGTTCAAGATGTGTTGGGTGTTTCCAACCGACCTAGCTGATTTTTAGTGTAATTGGAGGGAGGGAAAATTTACAAGATAAGAAATTTCAATTTCCCACCATTACCAATCCCAAACCTCAAATAGCTTATTAGTGTTTGTTTAGGTAAAATCAAACTTATAGACCGAATATGATTTCATTCCCTTTTATATTAATTAAGTAAATTAATTACAAGGTACAGCTACGGTAAATATAGAAATAAATATTCTAACACTCCCCCTCAAACTGGTGCGAAGATATCTCTCATCTCCAGCTTGCGAAGAATATCATTAAACGGTTTACTTCCAACCCCCTTTGTGAGGATATCAGCGAGTTGTTTCACCAGACTTCACAAATGGAGTACATATTGTGTCACTAGTGAGTTTCTCCTTGATGAAGTGACGATCAATCTCAACATGCTTTGTCCTGTCATGTTGAACTGGATTGTGAGCTATGTTGATGGCAGCTTTATTATCACAATATAGCCGCATGGAATCTGTCTGATCTATCCCTAGGTCACTCAATAACAACTTGATCCACAAAAGCTCGCACACACCTTGTGCCCAAGTCTCTAAACTCTGCTTTTGCACTAGAGTTGGCAACCACATTCTGTTTCTTACTTCTCCAAATAACCAGATTCCCTCTAACAAAGGTACAATACCCCGAAGTGGACATCCTATCAGTTACTGATCCTGCCCAATCTGCATCCATATAGGCTTCTACACTAAGATGATCATGTTTGGAAAAATAAAGGCCATTTCTAGGAGAAGATTTTAAGTATCTTAGAATCCTCATAACTGCCTCCAAATGTATTGCATAAGGAGCATGCATGAACTGGCTAACTATACTAACTGCACTAGCAATATCAGGACGAGAATGGGATAAGTAAATGAGCTTACCCACTAACCCCTGATAACCCCCCCTATCGACAGTTGCTCCTCCAATATCATCACTAAGTTTCTAATTAGGCTCTAGAGGAGTATCACAGGCTTTGCTTCCAAGCATCCATGTTTCTTTCAACAGGTCAAGGACATATTTTCTCTGACAAATGAAAATCCCATTGGATCTGATGACTTCAATACCCAGAAAACACTTTAGGTTTCCTAAGTCTTTGATCTCAAACTCATTTGCCAAATACTTCTTTAGCAGAGAAATTTCCTTAACATCATCCCATGTAAGCACTATGTCATCCACATACACTGAGAGCTGTCGTCTTATTATGGGAGGAATGGTTAACAAATAGAGTATGATCAGCCTGACTTTGTTTGAAACCATACTTCACCATCACTTGAGTAAATATCCCAAACCAAGTCCTTGGAGACTGTTTGAGACCGTATAGTGACTTTCGAAGTCGACATACCTTTCCCTTTGTCGGAAGATCTTCAACACCAGAAGGAATGTCCATATACACCTCTTCTGCTAGGTCACCATGGAGGAAAGCATTATTCACATCAAATTGGTGAAGTGGCCAATCCAAATTAGCTGCAAAAGAGAGAAGTACCCAGACAGAATTCATCTTCGCAACTGGAGCAAATGTCTCTTGATAGTCCACCCCATATGTCTGTGTAAAACCCTTTACCACAAGTCGAGCCTTATAATGCTCAACTGAACCATCGGCTTTGTGTTTTACTGTATACACCCATTTGCATCCCACGATTCATTTGCCCTTAGGTAACTCAGTCAAGTCCCAAGTGCCATTCTTACGTAGTGCTTTTATTTCCTCAATCATGGCAATTTTCTACTCAGAGGTAGCGAGAGCATCCTGAAAATGATTAGGTATACTCACAAAAGAAATGTTGGACACAAAGGCTCTATATGAGGACGACAAATGAGAGTAAGACAAAAAACTAGATATAGGATGTTGAGTACAAGATCTCACACACTTTCTCTTGACAATAGGAATATCAAGATCAGTAGTGTCAGGAATAGCAACATCAATAGACTCGAGAGAAACAAGAGGTTCAAAGCTACCTGCACTCTTATCAAAAACAGAAGATGCAGTGGGTGAGCAGAAGTAGTCTCGTGTATCCAAGTAACTTCTGTCTGTTTTTGTCCCTGACATAAACTTGCCCTTCCCTGTCCTTGGAGGCATTAGATTCTATTGCTATAGTCTCAGCCTCTGTTATCAGAATCTTACGATTCGCGATTCGATACGCAATTTTTGCAAAATTGATACGAATCTATGAGTGAATCTATTTTGGAAATGAATCTCTAGTGAATCGCACGATTCACAATCAATTCACGATTCACAATCAATTCACGATTCGATTCACGATTCGATTCACTTTTTACGATTCATGCAATTTTTAAAATTATTGTGTTCGACATATTTTCGACTCATTTTTTCCATCTTTTTAGTGAAAATGACATAATACAACTTCTAATAGTATTTAATACCAAAATAACCAACATATATATATGATTTGTTATTATTTTAGTGATCATGGAGTTTTTTATAGGATCCAATCAGATTCAGTCAAACCTAACATATTTTTAACCTTTCTTCTCATTTTTGTCCCCTTCAAAAAATTGTAATATATCTTCTAAAGATGTTTAAGATTAGAGTTACACTATGAATTATCTATTACTATTTTATTAAATTGAATACTACATGTGTGAGGTCAGTTATACCTGTTAAAATATTTTAAGCTTTAAAATAAAATATCCTAAATAATTCTTACTTATTATTTGCTCACTCTTACTTAGAAAAGTATATATGCTTATTGTCCAAATATCAATATCGTTGTTAACTATTGTTACTTTAGAAATTAATAGTTTCTATTTGGTTATTACCTTTATTAAGAATGGTTGATAGGAGATGAATGCTTTAAGGAGAAGTGGTACTTGGGAGATAGTTGATCTACCCAAAGACAAGAAAACAGTTGGGTGTAAATGGGTGTTTACGATAAAATGTAACGCAGATGGAAGCGTTGAGAGATACAAGGCGAGACTGGTGGCTAAAGGCTTCACTCAAACTTATGGGATCGACTATCAGGAGACGTTTGCTCCTGTTGCTAAAATAAATTCCATCAGAGTACTGTTATCTCTTGCAGTAAATTCAGATTGGCCTCTACATCAACTTGACATTAAAAATGCATTTCTCAATGGTGATCTTGAAGAGGAGGTGTTCATGAGCCTACCGCCGGGATTTGAGCAGAGACTTGGAAGCGACAGAGTATGCAGATTGAACAAGTCATTATACGGACTCAAACAATCACCAAGAGCGTGGTTTGAACGCTTTGGGAAGGCAGTTATCAGTTGTGGCTTCTCGCAGAGTCAAGCAGATCACACAATATTTTATAAACATTCAAAAAACAGTAAAATTGCAATTTTGATTGTTTATGTTGATGACATCATTTTAACTGGTAATGATGAAGCAGAGTTAGCAGCCCTCAAAGAGAAACTCGCAAAAGAATTTCACATTAAGGATCTGGGAGCCCTCAAGTATTTCCTCGGAATGGAATTTGCAAGATCCAAGGAAGGTATATTCGTTAATCAAAGAAAATATGTTCTTGATCTCCTTGGAGAAACAGGTATGCTTGGTTGTAAGATGGTGGAGACTCCGATCGAGCCTAACTTGAAGTTACAAGCTGCTAAGGCTGAAGAAGTCAAAGAGAGGGAACAATATCAGCGACTTGTCGGAAAATTGATTTACTTGTCTCATACGCGGCCTGATATTGCCTTTGCAGTCAGCATGGTAAGTCAGTTCATGCACTCACCAGGGGCAGAGCACTTTGAGGCCGTTTATAAGATCTTAAGATATTTGAAAGGAACTCCAGGGAGAGGCTTACCATGGATTATGGGAATTGAAAGCTTGGAAATTAATGTTTGAGAACTTCATATAGTCTTGAAATGACTAGAATGATAAGAATTGTGCATGATCAGAAATTATTACCATGTGTTGGTAGCATCAGTTAAGCATGAGGTGTTACTTATTGCATCATATTCTCAGTAATTATTTATCACCATTGTGCACCTTGATTGAGTTGGAAACGTTCACTTTGAGAAAAGATTATTGTAATGAAAGCTATAGAAAATGTTTAAGGGGTAAAAATGTTGGTA